TAATACTAGAAATTAAATGCCTATAACGGTCGAAGCTGGATTTTTAATGATTAACCTTTTGAGGACGAGGGATTGCTCAAAAAGTATCAGGTGTATAAGCTTAAATCCGCTGTTTTTTAGTCAAACAAACACATTTTTTTTTCCTAGGAAGCAAAAACAAATTTATTCAAAGTACTTGCCCTCGCTAACTATACATTTTTCCTATCTTTCGGGCAATTTGTGTATACCACGCCAAAAAGATTTCTCATCTTTCGAGGCAAACCACTCATCAAGCCATTTTCGGACGTCTTCGTAAGAATCGAAGTGCCGCTCAGCGAGCGCGTAGCCATCGACGAAAACAGGTGATAGTCGGAAGGTGCCAAGTCTGGTGAGTAAGCGGGATGAGGTAGCACTTCCCAGTTGAGTGTCTCCAAGTAGTTTTGGGCCATTGTTGACATGTGCGGTGGTGCGTTGTTATGGAGGAAAATCAGCTTGTCATGTCTTTTCCGATAATGCGGCCTTTTTTCGCAGAGCACGGTGCAATTTGAGTCAGTTGTTGATGGTAGCGGTGAGCATTAACAGTTTCACCAGGTTTTAACAGCTCGTAATAGACACCTTCCTGATCCCACCAAACGCACAGCATCTTCTGTCTGAAGAATTTGCCTTGAGGAAGATGTTGATGGTTGGGCGGGATCAACCCAAGATTTCTTGTGTTTAGGATTCTTCTTTAGGAAAATAGATCCACTTTTCATCGCCTGTCCGATGCAGGAACGACTTTCTTTTTTGTCTGGTAAGCAGAATTTGGTATGTGTTTTGGCGTCGCTCCATCTGCCTATCGTTCAGTTCATGCGGCATCCATTTTCCAATCTTTTGAACCTTCCCCATGGCATGTAGCCGCATGGAAATGGCTGCTTGAGAAACACCCAATTGCTCGGCAAACATTTTTTGCGATTGGGTATCATCCTCATCCAAAAGAGCCTGCAATTGACAGTCCTCAACCTTCTTGGGCCGATTTTTACACTTCTTGTCATAATTGGGGTCAAAATTGTCATCATTAAACCAGCAAAACCAATCTCTGCACGTTGTTTCCGATAAAGCATTGTCGCCATAGGTCTCCACAAGCATTCGATGCGATTCGACAGCCGATTTCTTGAAACAGAAAAGCAAAGCTTCCCGCATATGTTTTTTTTTTTTAGCAAAAAACTAGACATGATTACGAAAGAAAAAATGTATATTGTTGTATGAAATTGCTGATGATGTGCACTGATTAATGTTGACAGATGTCAAACGCATAAAAAAAAGTATATTGTGTGCCTTGGGTAGCTTTGTACGCTCACTAATGCCACCTATGAGCAAACAGCGGATTTAAGCTTATACACCTGGTAAATTATGGGAAAACTAGTATTTAAGGATAATTTTGGGTCGCTGAATCCGAATCTGATCTTAGTATTTCAAAATTCTGTAATCCAAGATGACGGATCCAATATGGCCGATATTGACAGAGTCAAAAAATTCAAATGTTGCTTGAAATTCATTCATATTACATTCATATTACTCTTATTTCAGAAATTTTTGACCCTATTTTTATGAAACTTGGTATACAAGGGTTTTTGATGATGCTCTTTTGGCAGCTCATTAATACCATGCAAACTTTTGTTATTGACAGCTTGGAATAAAGAAAGTTCACGTTTTATCGATCAGCTACAAGAAGAGCGAAATCGGAAATTCTCGAAGCATGCTTCTTGCTTCACCAACGCATCATCAATCAAACTTCCATAGTTTTCTAAATTTGAAAAGAGCACCATCAAAGTCCTAGTAATATAGATTTCATAGATTTTGAATTTGCATTTTGATATTTGCATTTTTTGACCATTTAAACGACGACTATATTGGATCTGCCATTTTAAATTTTGAATTTTTTACTTCAGAATTAAAAAAAGTATCATCAAAAATCCTTGTATACCAAGTTTCATAAAAATAGGGCCAAAAATTTCTGAAATAAGAGCGGAGAGCATGTATATATGTTTCCCGGCATCAAAGGTTAAATAATTCAAATGTGAATTATCCAGAGACACGGTAGTGTTTTGACACTAAGAAAAACGTGACAGTACAGTGACATCTTTACGCGGAGTGATGAGATTTTTCGGAGATCTCGATTATTATATCTCAATAATGGCTGTGCCGATCAAATTCTACGTATAGTCAATCGATAGTCTGTACGCGAATTATGTAATGAAAGTGCATTTATTTTTTGTCTATTTACTCTATGAGTAAAGATATTGCAACAATTTATAATTTTGTTCAAATTTTAAGAAATGTCATTATTACTATTGTCATTATTACTATTAATGTCGTCGTCGTCTGCCTGGCCCATGGATTACATCTCAAACTTTAGTCGATAGATGGCAATCTAAACATTTTTACTTTACTTTTTAATAATATTCTTTAATGAACAACGGTCGACTACTAAGACTGCCTGATGGTCACTCAGAATCATAATCTTGACAATATGTATCAATTTAGTACATTTTTTTTTTCGAAAGAATCGAAGAATACAAATATTCTTAGCGCCTTTTTCTATCTTTTTTAAAAGGATTTTGTTATATATACTATATATATGTACAAGCATTAAAGCATATATATCATATTCATAATCATTCGAACTGCGCACCGAATTGGTTTTCCGGATTTATACGCAATTAAACTGTAAAAATATTACGATTATAACACGATAATTAAATTTCGCAATAATTAAATTAAATTGACAAGCAATTTTTAATAATTTGATGCTCAATCAGGCATCATATCAGAAAGATGTTAATATGCTGAAAAACTGTAAATAAATTTATTATGAAAAATATTACCTCGATCAAGAGTTGAATTCGGGTCTCTAGTATTCCGTATGAACGTCTTTAGACTACCGAGACATATCTAAAGAAATTCGAATGACTATGAATGATTACGAATTATGGAATATATGCTTGTATATGGTATATATTGCATATAATATATATATAATTCACATTTGAATTATATTAAAGATCCAGCTTCGACCGTTATAGGCATTTAATTTCTAGTATTGATTGTATTCTCATATATGCGATCTAAAAAAAGATTCTTATTATTAATATAAATAATGATGTTATATTAGAAAGGTAATTTTACTTGAGGATGATAGACTGGTCTTTCATGCATTCCATGTACGGGCCATTCTTTCCACTCTGTCTCGTCTTTTTTGGTAGGTGCTTGATAAGTAGCACCCACAGTATACATCTTTCGAGTAATAGATCTAGTGTTCATATATGGCATTGCGGATTTTATACGTTTCTCAAATTCATAATCCGAATAAAACTCTTTCTTGTTGTTGGCCAATAGTTGTTTGGGTCGAGAAAAATCCTTATCAATATTTCTCTTCGACATTCGCATAGGATTTCGTCTCACTTCTATCGTTTTCAGACTGAGAATATGAGTAAAGATATAAAATCTGAATAAATTTAAAACAAATTATCCTTGCTAATCAAATTAAGTTGTTTTTTTTTTTAATCCATATATATGGTATACATATAAAGTTATTATTTTTAATAAAATAAATCTTTTGACAAGTTTTTATTAAAAACGATCTGTTCTTAATTAAATGAAGATTATACTTATTATATACAATAAAGTCTGAATTATGAAATGCATTTAAAATAGAGTTAATTTAGAAAAGTAATAACTTAAATTTAACTTTTAATGTCATACAGAATATAGCATAAAGAAAAATAAAAGATTTCTTAATTTTGATAAAAAAAATTAATGGATGAGACATCTTATTATTATCAGGATTATTATAAGAATTTATTTATTATAAGAATTCTTAGAATTATTAAAAAGATTACACATTTATTACAAGTGTTCTCAAAATTTGCAAAGTGA